AAATACGAAATGTGCTGTGATTGGTTAGCTGGGCCAGTGTGTGCTGTGATTGGCACCACTCGGCGCCTGGTCGGGAAATGCCATATCCCTTACCATAACCGCCTGCGAGCTTCAGTGTAAATATTACGTCAAAATCAAATTAATTTTGATTTGATTTGATTTGATTGATAAATAACCCGGATGATTGTAACCACTCTAAGTTTGTCTACCTTGGGAAAGCTAGCGTGTCTCTGACATAGTGATAACACTCATTGCCTTCTCTAGTGCAACTCAACCAGGTCTCATCCCATTCGTCAATATTTGTGATATCACACATTCCGGAAAATATGCGTTGATTTTCAGTGTCGTGCGCTTTGCTTGGCCATTTGTTGTGATAAACAGGAAAGTGTGTTCAAGTGCCAGCAAAATTCAATTTGAGTTTTGTTAAACGAATAAAAAAGCGGTCGCGATCGTGTGAAGACCGAAGAGTGTAAAGACCATCAACTCTACCGTGCGACTCCACCGGGCAGGACACCGGCAAGGGACATAAGTATCGCTTTTTATTTCTCCTCTTTCCTACTACTTGTTTCACTTCTGTTTCAGTTTTTTATAACCATTTCTTACCATATGTCAGTAAGTTGTTGTTATTTTAGCATGTGTGTTTGGCTCAGTGTTATTTTTTTAGGATTACTGATAAACTAGCTAGCCAGCCATATAAATGCAAGGCAGTAAGCTCATTGGCTGCATATGCAGGATGAACCAATCAGCGTGTGCCAACTAAGTCGTTTAACTCTCTGAATATCATCAGTTACATTAACAACCCGTCAGCCTGCGCCATCTAGAGTTTCATGACTGAACTATATATTTTAATACAAAGGGCCGAAAGCCAATCCCACAGAGTAAATTTTTCATTTAAAAACATGAGTTGTGCTTCAACTGGACAGGCTAACAAAAACATTATAATGCAATGACACTAACATCGTCTGATAAGGCTGCCCCCTTACACCTAAAATTCGAATGCAAAGTTTTTGCATTCAAATGTGGATTTTTATTTTAAATTCGACGAATATTCAAAATTAATTTTTTTTTTTTGACAGCCCTAGGTTATACTCATGTCGGTGTTTCCTGAAACACAATTAAGCTGCGGCACTGCACCGCTACTGAATCGACAGCGGCATGGCAAAATAAATTACATTGCAATAGAGTTGTGGAGAATTGCAGTTTGAATTAAATAAGGGAAAATATATAAAAAGTTTGGGTACTGTGAAATAACGCCAAGTCAACACATCTTTGTTTGAGTCGCCTTCATTGTATACATGCAAAAACAAACCTTATTCACAAACAAATGACTTTAAAGAGTATTCTTCAAAGTACGCAACAACTTTTTCTTGCCGTAGTAATGGACAAAGATGGCAATGACACCTGCTCATATGAGGCAATTACTGTATAAATATTGTATTGTGTGTTGCAAGGAAGTAAAGGCTAATAAAAATAACCATATTAAAAGAAAATAGAATAAAATGACATTAAGTTCAGGTGCAATGGCATGTATTAAACCCTAAAATATGTGTTTTTGAACACATAACACAAACAAAAAGAAGATTAAAAACCTTCTAGTGACCAAGTACTTTGAATTGCAGCGTAAGATAATTAATAAATAAACTTTTTATTTTTTTTAAGAAACATAGTTAGCAGCTGTTACTATGACAATATAATAAGCGAGGGAAGAAAACAACAGCTTTTCTGGCAATTTCTTCACACATTTATGGATAACAATAGCAAGAAGCTCACAGGCATCTAGTGAGCAACAATTCCCGAACTAGACAGAAAGAACTGAATTGATTGAGGCACTCGAAACCACAGGCATTTTGTTCAGTATCCACAAGGCATCCCAACCTACACAGCAGGTGAAAAGAAAAGTGCATCTGTCAATGACAAAGCTAATGACACCCTAGAGATATGAGCAATGTCAATCCCACAGGAGTCCGAGAGCTCGTTTAGTTTACACTCGAAGTGGATTGGTCTCTCTAAGCGAGATCCCAATTTCGTCGGTCATCCGACGTGACGTCTCCGTTCCCTCCTTCAGGGAACGAGGGTTACCATACGTAACCGAGACGTTTACCCTTACTTTCACCTCCAAGTCTTACCATTTTAATCTGACTCGATTACAATTTTCTCATTAAAAGCAAAAACATGGCTTATTTATGTTAATGTCCCACTCCTAAAACGCATAATTACAGTGTCCATTACTGACCAATTGTTACCCAACCATGATGGAAAATGATCTAGGGTGCAACAGATCCATGTAGTTAAGAACTAATCAGACCGCAGTGTAAAGACAGTATATTTAATGCACTCCCTGATTCGCTTAGCCTTAAGGGATATATATATATATTATTTTTTTATTGCTAAAATTGTGCCTCCGCGCTCCACGATCACTCCATACATATTTAATCTGCTGCAACTGCCTAAGTACTACCAGAGAAATCAGCCAAGATATGGATATGATAGGTACTGCACACACTTGCATTCTGCTACATGAAATTCTGCTCTGTAAAAATATGTGGAAAAACAAACAAGAGCTTCATTCAGATTGCTCTAGATTGAAGTTTTAAACTAGTGTTTAGCATTCACACATGCAGAGAAAACCTGACTAGGTTCACTAAGCATTTCTCTACGTGATGTTTTCATCAGCCTTCTCTACCCTCCGATCTGACAGACCCACCAGCCCCAGGGGTGACATCAGCCCCAGACATCTGTCAGTGTGAGTTGGCAACAATTGTCAAAGAACAGCTCCGTAATTCAACCATCCCATGATAAATCACTGCGTTTAGGCCAAACAACAAACAATGACTTCACAGGATTGGATTTTTAGGATTAAACTCACACGTAAGTGTGACATGCTCATTTAATTGAGAGAACATAATTTCTTTAGGATGAGAATCTTAAAAGAAAACTAAAGAATGTCTTGCTTCAAGTCTTTCCAGATGAATTGGATTGGCTCGACTAGACATTCACAGGCAAAGATGCTTCAATATAAGCAGAAACCAGGGAATACTGACTGGGCTGGGCTTCACCTTCCCATAGACTTTGCTAATCTGGCTCTGGCTCTGGCTATGATGACGATCATGAAATAAATGTTTCAAAGAAAAGAAAGGAACAATAATATTTATTATAGAATTCCAAAGTGCACTGGCACCAACATAACCTCAATCCTTCTTCAGGGACAAAAGCATAAACACAGAAGCTGAATGTTTGTGAAACTCGTAAAGACGGTCTTGGGATTCATTCTTTTTCTCTGACTTTTAATTACATAAGGAACAAACCCCTTGGCCAAGGGCACAGAAAGTCTCGCTGGGGAAGGTATTTTAGACACGGCTCCACATACAAGATGAATGTGTTGTGGATGCTGAGGATCAGCTGGTGGTACCGCGGTATTCATGGAACCCAGCCCAGGCCTGTCTTAATGCTGTGTCGCTTCACTGAACACGCTAACACTCCCGGAGAAGAGGAACAGATTTTGCAGAGCATATGGGACCTCACCAGGATTCAAATAAGCAGACCGTCGGAGATGCCTCTCTTACCTGTAGAAAACTATTAATCTACATTTTCCCTCTTTCTCACTGACAATGGCGCAGAACAAGGGGCAACTAGAGAGAAAGGGCAAGGGCAAAGTGAGAGCGAGAGAGAGATGGGAGAGTTTTAAAAATTGACTAAAGATGGTGTTCTGACGTGTTTCTGCTTTTCAGTCACATCACGCGGTTTCCTCTCCACTGACCTTCCCCTGACCCCTCCTACTTTCCCTGGCTGAGAGTATGGAGGAGACTCACTGCTCTTCTATAAACAAACACACAAATAACAGCAAGAACAGGAGAAAAAAGTATCTCTAGGAAATGGCAGATCTCAGTACTCAATGTGAAATACATGAATCACCTTGTACACCAGCACATCTTTTACAGACTGAAAATTAATCCAGATTCATACCAAACCAAGCTAATGCCATCAGGTAATACCAAATCAAAACTGACTTTAGTTACTTATATAATTGATGCAAATTATTCCCAAAAAAAGTTAAACATTTATTGATCCTCCAAACCGATTGTCCTACATTGCCCGGATCCTTTTCGGAGTGCCCGGAGTAAACCCATGCTAACACGAGAAGAACTTGCAAACTCCACAGAAAGGGCCCCTGCCTCAGCCGAGACTCAAATCGAAGACCTTGCTGTGAGGACAACCAAAGTCCCTTTAAGGCAAGTCATGTCACTCGGCGGCCATCTTTGAAACACCTCTCGGGCATGCAAGTGCAGCTCCTATCTCTTTGAATGGGGAAACATCAAATTCTCCAAAACTATTCATCAAGCTTCCGATTAAATTTCATATTTGAAATCACCAATGAAATCTGACAACAACTGTCTCATAAATGTTGTTTCTTTTGCTCAAACAGCGTTAAAAAAGCTTATTTTTCAGGCTAGACCAGCCAGTGCGCATTCACAGTCCTAAGCATGCGTCTCAGAATCTTAACTGTTTCTATAGCAACCTGGACTTCTAAGGGCAGCTGCAGTGACCGATTACCGATTGGCCCTTTCATTCAGAAGGCGGGGCTTCCTCTGATAGAGCTGCCATATTGAGCGTTGCATTTTTCCCCATTCAAAACTATACGAGTGACACATCTTGGGTTTTCTATCCACCTTATTTTTCAATGCGGAAGTAAGCTGTTTTCTGTGAATGTGCGAGACTTCCACTTCATTAGCTGCAGTTCGAAAATAACAGGAAGAATAACAAAGCGCAATAAATGGTAAAATTGTTTTGTTTTTTTTCACACCCAGTGTGCTTATAATTAAGACAATAGATTAAAATAATATGGTAAGAAACACCAGTCTGCGATATCAAGCAGCAAAACAAGCTGTTTGTACAGCTAAAAATAGCTGGAGGCGGATGACACCGGAAGCCAGACACATTAAATTTACAAATGGCCGCGCCCTCTCTAAGGGGAAAAATAAAGTGGATAGTCTTTGGGACACCTTACTTCCCCTCTGAAACAACTTTCTTTCCTGGCTGACATCACCAATATCACTTTTTTTTACTCCTTCCCAAAATCTTCATCATCATATAGTCACAATTTTTCATGACCAAACTAAAGAATCAAACACTCAGAAATACATTACAATAAAAAAGCAAAACATTTATTAAAAAAGTACAACAATTAGGGATGCTCCAATCGATTGGCCGGAGATCGGTATCGGCCGATAATCACATTTTATGACTCGATCGGTACTCACTACACTTGGCCGATCTCACGAACCGATCGCAATTTGATGACGTCAACACGTGACGACGTACATGATGCATGGGGACATAAATGATTTGGTGCCACAGTCATGTCATCGCCGGTGTGGAAATGCTGTGACGTTTCGAGAAACAATTAAAAATTCGTGTATGTTTTGCATGATGATATGATGAATGGATGGTTCATTTTTAACAGGCGATTCAGTGAGGTTAGAGCTGATCTGCGCCTCACTGCACACGTCTGCGGCGTGTTACGGCTCAACGGGCACCGGAGCTGATCGCGGCCGCTCTAGTCAGTGCTTGTGTTTATGAGCCAGCCGCGGCACGTTTCTGAAGTGGCTCTCCACGCTGCTTGGCTAAAAATAGTCTTTTGTGAGGTGTCAGCGTGGAGACAGCATCCTGCACGCGACTGCGGCGTGTTACGGCTCAACGGGCACCGGAGCTGATCGCGGCCGCTCTAGTCAGTGCTTGTGTTTATGAGCCAGCCGCGGCACGTTTCTGAAGTGGCTCTCCACGCTGCTTGGCTAAAAATAGTCTTTTGTGAGGTGTCAGCGTGGAGGACGGAACAAAACCTCATTGGAGCCGTAAGGGGTAACGATAACATAATACGCTGATCGTGGACTGCTTTTAAATGAACATTTATTTATAAAACAAAATACCTTCTTTGGCCATATTAGCCTACTCAATAGCATTAACACAGGCTTTACTCCTTTCAAACCTTATCTGGAATGTCACCGTTTCTGTCACTGCAACTTTCCGATCAGGCGAACAAACACACACACAAAATCGTCTGCCTCATGAAAAA